TAGCAGAGAAATTTTTACTACAGCATCTCTTTTGAGGGGTGGCTTAGTGTTTTTCCTGGAAGAAAAATGAAACAGTAAAACCTGTAAAGGGCAGCCCTAATTTTTGCTTGGCTAATTGTGTGGGTTTGAATTTTCTAGACATCATTAGCAAATGTTTGGAGCTGAGACAGTGAGTCTCTGCAGACAAAGCACTGCTAGCAATCAGAGATTTTTATGAATGTCTGATCATTTTGCCTTGACTGTGTCTGTCCACTCTTATTGAGGGAAGTCATTAGAATTAACAACGGGAAGGTAGAGCCAGAAATATACACAGGCTGCAGTCTAGAAGAGAAGTAATGATGTTTTGAACTGTCATACTTATCCATTCAGCTAGGTTTAACATATGCATGCTTAGGGCAGAGCTCTGCTGGTCATTTTTTTTGTAACATCACAAACAGGAAAGTGTCTTTCGTTTTCTTCCATGAAAAGGGTCATTTCTATCAAATGTTTTGATATCTCAGATTTCTACAGCATTCCACCCCAAACAACTTCAGTTTGTTATAATGTGGGGACTTGAGTCCCCTCAGTGATAACAGCAATTAACCCAGTACTGTGTTGCATACTAAATCAAAATTTAGTGATATGAATCCACTTGAGTACTTGTCTGTCATTGTCCATAGTACCATTCATCATTGTCTTGATCTTAGTGGAATTGATCCAGGCTGCTGCATATGTAGAGTCATCCAGTTCTAAAATTAATTTTATAGCTTTCTTCTTCCAACATTACACTCTCAACTAAAGCAAGTGGATTTGATTCTTCTGTCCTTGACAACAGAGGGAACTTGGAGTTAAATCAAAGAACTCATTGAGTATAAAACATTGGTAAATGAAAAGAAAGAGGGAGAAGGACATTTATTTTTTTCATTTTTATGTACAGAGAAGTAATTCTTCCTTTCTTCTTTTAGCTTTTTAAAAAAATTTCTATTTGTACTAGCTGCCTTCTCTTTTTCTTTTTTTTCTTTCTTTTTGAGTATGTATTCCAGAACTACTCTTTATTTCATTGGAGTGGCTATTTGTACTCACAGTAACCTCTGTTCTACAAAGAATGTCTCTTAAAGAATCTTTTATCATAAAGAAATAATTCTGCACAGTAATAAAACATTGGCACTTTCTTTATTTTTAACCTGTTTTCTTAAAATGTTTGTCTAAATGCTTAACCATGGGAAGGGCAAGGCTTGAGTAACAGAAAGAAGATATTGTGCCTCTTCAATTCAAGGACAGCATGCACTCATAAAGGCTTAAAAGTCTAAATCTGACAGTGGCTAAAGCAACAAGACATAATGAATTGGTTTGGATAGTTCCAGAGTTCTGGACTGCCTGTCCTGCCATCCCAACAGTTTTCTTGAGAACATTATTTTTCAGCCTGCCCTACTTGACAGTGGGAACAACACTCCTGGGAAGTTACCACCCCCAAAGCTACAACAAGTGAAGAAATTCCCCCAGGTTCCAACACCTGTTTTAGGTCTTTTTTTCACTAGTTCACCTAGTTAAATCACCCCTAGCACAAGAAGGCTCAATTAATTCAACAATTTAGAATGGGTCCTAAGACCTCATTCTGTCTTGGTAAAGTGTAGTTTCATCAGTCCCCCAATGTAATATTTTCCGTTAACTCAAGCCTTTTTGATTCAGAAATAACTCCACTTCTGTGAGCATCTAGATAATATGGTGCTGAGTGTGTCACATTTCCTCACAGCTAGACCGGTTAGAATGAAAACTCTCCTCTAGGTTATCTGAAAAGAAACCTGTTCATCACCCTGAAAAAAAAAGAGGGTGGATTCCAGCCCCGACATTTGAAAACACAGTGCAACAAAACTGAGGCTGGCAAAAGGTCTTCAGTCCAGACTTGCTGGACTTCAGGTTTCAGAGGAACATTACAGTGAGCTGAGGCCATTGTACACACTAAGTTCTGGGGATTTGGGGTAGACGATGGAAAAGCTGTTAGTAAGAATGGTTTGCATATTTTCTTCAAGTGCAAGATACTAAATCATGCAAGTGATCAAGTTGTGGTTCGTATTAGAAATCTCCTAATAGCTGTTTGTTTGGGAAGATTTGGGCTTGCTACTTGTGACAATGTAGAACAGCTCCAGGAGGACTTGTTGCAAAGTGTGTCACTCCTTTCTAGACTCAAATCCTCTTCTTTCATCTGCTAATTGCTTTTCTCCTAGTTGTTTATGATGTACTTGATTTACTGATATCAGTGACTCAGTGGCAGAGCTGGAATGAGAATGGGGACCATTAGTCTCCTGGACCTGTCTTTCACCCTCTAGTCCATGTTGCAGGGCTGAGGCGCTGCCTCCTGTGCAAAGTCTTTCTGCTCCTCCAGACGTTTTACAGGTCATTCACCCCAGGCTTAGTACCCTACTCTATCATGTGCAAGCTGAATCTTCAAGGAAAAGGAGGGCATCACTACCTGCTTATTCTTTTGGGGAGCATCTCAAACTGCTGCCTGGACCCCCCAGGGAAACCAATAAGTTGGCATATGTGCATAGTTTATAGGAAGTCCTCCTGGTTTCACAGGCTAAAGGTCATTTGCATTATGGGGAAAGCTGGCAGAAGGCTGACCTGAGATTGAGAGACTCCCACCTGTGGGATCAGCTAATCTGATTTTTCTGCAATGTGGATTTTGGAGTTTGAAAGGGACAAGAGGATTGCTGAAGTAAAGCTGGGACATTGCTAAGAAAAAAATAATAATGATTGGCAACTCAGTTAATACATTTGAGAGTCAAGGTGCAGCTACTGGAGCATTAGCTCAAGGGAAAAAAATAGAGATTCAGTGCTGGAGTCTAGAGGATATACAAAAATCTTCAGAATGATCAGGATTTATGGATGCTTCGTCTCCCACCTGCTGGCACCAGGAGTAAGGATCCACATGTAAAAGCCTCCAAAGTAATTTTAAGAATTAGTGAAGTGAAGCTGTGTGTTGTAGAAAAGAGCTGAAGTTTGGTTCATGCCTAGAAGGCACCTGTAATTTTACTTTAAGGGGAGGTGGGTTAATCTCTTCTTTTTGCAGTTCTCAGCGACGTGCCATTAATTCTAGCAACTCCAACTTCATTGAGAGACTGTGGCTGTCACCGCGGAATTGCTTTAGTGAATTGTGCTTGCAGAGAGACACGGGGAGCATGGTTGCATGATTAAGGCTTTTGACTGGGATCCCAGAGCTCTGGGCCAGATCCCAGCTCTGCCACATACCCCCTGCCAGGACTAATCAATGAATTTGTGCTATCTCGGTTCCCTACTATCAAATGAAGGCAACGATGCTTCCTTTCATTCATCCACTGCCTGACCTGTCCACATGGATGATAAGCACCTCTCTGGCTGAACGGACTTGCAGTAGCCCACTCATTGGGCCCCTGGATCATTTCACCACCTTTGTATTACCTGTGATGAAGTAACTTAATAACATCTTGGGGACTGCATGCCAATAATAAATTGCAAGTTATGGAACGTAAGCCCAGTTTGAACACATAAGATTAGTGCTGCCTTCCAAGTCAGGACAGACATCCTCTATGGCAGGATTTTCAAACATACTTAAAGTAGGCACCAAATTTAAACATTGAAGCTCTTTCTGTCTTGAACAGTAGCCTGGATCTTTAAGTGCTCTCCTGAACTGGTCCTGTCCTAAGTCACTTGCCGCAGGAGACAGGCTGAATAGTGGGCAGTCCCATCTCACAGAAGAGTGTAAATCCTTATGAAAGTCAGTATTTGAAAATCGCACCCTGGTGCACACAGCATAAAACAAGCTTTGTGATATTGTTCATAAGTCTATCTTGAAAGTTGCAAGCCTGGCAAGTCTTCAAGGAAAGTCTGCAACAACACCAAAGTGATCTGTGTGATGCATATTCATCTTTTCTCTGCAATTCAATCCTCTTTTTTCATTCTCTAAGGCTTGTGTGAATACAGATATGCACACGTGGAATGGAAACTGTGTTTTATAGCTGGATTAAACTGGTAGGAAAGCTTTATATAGCTTGTTACAACTTTGAATAGAAATTGCTGAGCTCCAGCTGTGTGGAGCTGAGCTTTGCTCTTCCTTTTCTTCCAACTGGCCCAGTGTCATGGCAGAACTCATGTCAGATCTTCCTCTTCCTCCCAATCCCAGAGCTATTTCTCCCTTCCTTTCTTGTCTTATCTTTTGGGTTTCCTGGGAGATTTTGTTTTAAACAAAAGTCTGATTCAATTTTCTGTCTTTGCCTCTCCATCCCATAGTTTTTCGGCATCAGACTTTGTGAAAGTGATACTGATATTTAACAAGCCCATAATTTCCCCTTTTTCCATTTAAACACTTGTTGATAAAGATAATGTAAAATAACAAAATGCATTTACTTTAGAAATTAATTGTCTAGCATTGCTTTTTTCCTCAAATAAATCAATACCATTTCAAAGCCATCAGCAGCTGGTGTCATAATCAGCACTGTGGTAATAAACATATAATGGCATATGAAGAGGCAAATAAACCCTGTTAACATAAGCTACTAACCAGATTTTATAAGCAATCTTGAAGAAAAGAACATATTTAAAATCTGAAGCTCTGAATTGTCACTGTAGGGACACAGTCCCCTCTCTGGCCGGAGAAGACAGCTGAACAATCCTTTTGAGCTCTGCGAGTGGAGTAACTTCCCTTTGAATGGACACAGCAGAAAATCAGCTCTGCTCCCGGGGACCATCAGTGATGATCACTAGAAAGCAGCACAAGATGATTACTCCCTCTACGCTGGGAAAAGTCTGCTCTAGTGTCTTTCACAGCATGCCGGTTCAGCGCTGTTATCATCAGGCAGACTCCAATTTCGTGCCTTAAAATGCATTCCATTTTTCCCACAGCTTTTACAAAAGTAGGCTGAAATTCAGGAAGCATGTAGGCAGGGGCCTAATTTTATGCCCCTGGTTTTAAGTCCATGTGGCTCTAATAACGCTTCTTGTGCAGCTGAATTTAGCAGAAATGCCTTGATGAATTGGGGCTGAAGGTTGTTGTCAAGCCTGTCTTCCCTGGGGAATAGAGACAGCCTTGTCCTGTCCCAGGTACTGGGGCAGTTCTTCTGCATCATGCGCAACACATCGGCTTGGGGATGAAGGTCTGTGCTGGTCCTGTGGACATAGCAGTGACGGGGTTAATCTAACTTTCAATTTTTAGAGGAAAGAGACACTTCAAAGGCATTTTCCTAGTACGGGTTTTAGGAGGATGTCCCGTTTACTACAAAACAAGTCTGTTGTGCTTTGATGCTTTTCAACTGCCAGAAATACTATTATCTAGATTACATTTTATCATGTTTTCTGGGTATTTCATACTGATAAGGTTTTATGCAGGATCATTACAGATGAGAATAGATTTAATCCTGTTTTTAGTAAGCTTTAAGGACACTGAGGGATTATTTATGTAATAAGATGCAAAGTTGCTATGGAAAATGCTATAGCAACCTAACATCTTCACAAAACCAAGCAGCCACTTGTGACAGCAATCTAAATTTACATTTATTTTAGTGTCATTTTATTGACATTCTTAGTATCTCATTTTGACAGCATGTTAAAATATGTTTTGCGTTCATGCTAGAACAAAATTAACAGCATATTGTTGGAATGAAGATGATGCTTATAATTTTTGGAGATAATTTTAGCATATTTCATTCTATGTAAATAGCATTAAAATTATACTGAAAAGAAGTTTGGGTGCATCCCCTGTATTTGTAATACAGCAAACAATGCACATTGAAAGTAATATTTTACAAGTCAGTGAAAGCTAAACTGGTTTTATTTGCTTTGAATCTGAATGAAAATATATTTAAGAAAGAAATGATTTTGTTATTAGAATTTATTTCAAATCCTGTATCTTTTATTATAACTTTCCCAGTTCAGGATACAGGCTATAATTTTTCATTAGGTTTCATAAAGCAGGGCATCATTTCTGAATGTGTAGACTTGCAGTTTGATAAGGAGTTGCCCTATTTAAATGGGACTTTTCTAAAACGTAGGATACCGGTACCCATTGCCCCTTAGGAGGTTAAATAAAAAGGAAAAGAAAAAACAAACACAAAGTGACAAAACAGCCTGAACTCTGTCCTGTGCTCATTGCAGTTAATAATGAAACTCGCATTGACTTCAATGGGAGCAGAAGCAAGCTCTGTATATTGATTTTCTCCATCCCCCTCCATTAAGAATCCTGAAGTGTGGCTGTAACAGTGTTGAAGTGGGATGTTGGCAGCAAAATCAATAAAAGACAATATTAGAACATATGCTGTTTTCAGCTTCCTCACAATCTGATATAGCTGGTATTAGCATTCTTCTCCAAATTACACTTCATGCTTTCTATAAAGTGACCTTCCTTATAGTGCCCTCTCCAATATAAAGCTTTTGTGCTCTTACTCTCATATTTAGCCTTCAAGAGAATGAGCCCTATTTGTAACAGTGAAGATGGTTGATTCTGAAGAGAGCATAAAGAACAGATCCCTTCAAGAGTGGCTTCTGCCTAAACCCTATTTCTGACCTCCTATGAAAGATCGTTTCTTTTACTGTTTAAACTAAGCTCTTGGTTTGAGGTTTCCTTAATTATGCTGCCCTTCATGCTTTGTTGTTTTTAGAAACTCTTTTCACCCCGGCACATTAGAGAAACTTGCAGATATTGCTTGAGGTGGAGGTTTAGGTACCTTCTTACCCATTAAATACAAGAAACATCAGGCATTGCTAAGGTGTCAGAGGAGATAATGATCAGAAAGCAGAGTCTTTTCCAATGTCAATACAAGCTTCAAAAGTCATAATTGCAGGTTTTGGGAGCATCCTTATGTCATGAGACAGGCAAGGCTGGCTGAAGTTTCCAAAGCATTAAAAGCTTCCTTTTCGAAGCTTGCAGCTTCTCATTCCTTGTGTGTCCAGGTTGACTGGCAGCCTGTGATGTGGTTGCATGCCAGCAGTTAAAAACACACCCAGCAGAGCTCATGGTTGAAGCTGGATGGCCACAGAAACTCCCAAAACTACTACTAGTTTGTGATGCTGGTTTGCTTTGGTGAACGAATCTTAGATTCAGAGGAGTTTCATGATGTCCTGCTCTTTGGTTTTAGCTTAAAGACCATCTCAAGAAAATAAACTTCACACTAATGACACGTATCCATAGTATAGCATTTTGTGACTAATATATTGAAGGATTTGGTTCATAAAGTTGAAAGCCAAGTGGTTTCAAAGCTGCTTGGAGGTGAGTGATCTTCTTTTAGTTTTATTTGGGTTTAGATTCATGGCAGAGGGAAAAGAGAACAAAGAAAGGCCATCTCGGATGTGAAATGACCGACTGAAGAGCTAGATACCATATCAAAACCGTACCATTTTATACCACTTCTCCACTAATTCCAGCATGAGGCCCCTTGAACACCAGCATATAGAACTCTAAAGGTGGAAAATTTGTTTCTTCTATGTTAAGAGGAAGGTGGTTTGTTTTATTGGATTTTTTAATTAGAAACTATAATTGCTATTTTTTTTTTGCCTTTCAATGGGCAAATAGTTTGCAATCTTTTTGATTATTTATTCATCTCTCCCCATATTTGATGCATAGCAAGTTGCATCAAGTGCAAGAACTGTGCCAAGCATGTCTTTACAGCACTTGTATCCAGTGATTGCTGAGCTGCTTCTACAGCTGCCAAGTGCCCACCTCACATGTCAACCAGGGATCTCTCCGAAGACATTTGGGTGGTTGCTAGTCCACAACATCGGTTTCTTCATTGCTTCTTTGTCATGTGTCAGATACAAACTGTCTTCCCTCTTAAATTTGTCTGAGCTCTGGAGACAAGTGAGCACTTTTAACAGTCGAGGAAGAACATGATAAAAAGCAATAGCTCTCTCCATGTTGTTCTATTATCAGATAGTCATCTGTCTCATCATGTTTTGTTGATAGGTTTTGAGATGCCTGTGCTGTTAGACCTTGATCCCACAAGCTACTGCCTGCTGCTCGTAGTGTTTGCACTCACCTTTTGCTCAACACCCACAGATACAAAGTCCTAAGCAACGGCTTACCCAGAAGGTCTGGTACACAGACTATTTCACTGTTATCTCTTCACAGTTACACACTTTTTGCAAATTTCACTAACTTGTCCATTTTTGAAAGGACTGGAAGTACCACTAAGCTCTGTAGAAGCCTGTCATATGCAAGTTTGCAACACATTTTATTTTTCAGTAGCTGAGAAAATGCCTACTAAACATGTTAAATTGTGGAGAAGCACAGTGACCTCTATTTGCAGATACTGAATATGCTGAAGGCAGGATGGAGTGGAGAGAAGGAGGTTTTGGCTTGCAGGTACAGCTCTTCTGCACACCCTGCCATTCACATAGTGGATAAATGGCTCAAGAAATGCTGTCTCTGAATGTGAGAGTCAAGAAATTACAAGCTTGATGTGATCATTTGCTTATGCCTTCTAAAGGGGTAAAAACATATTCCCACATTAAAGATCTATTTTTATCTAAGGCCAAAATAACTAAGCAAGTATTTCAGCATTATGCACAATTTTAAAAGAAAAATTAGCTCAGCCCTCCAATCCAGTACAAGGTCAGACAGCTCTCCTGCAATTTAAGGTGCAACAGAATGTTGTACAAAGATGGTTTGTTTTCTCATTTATAGAAAGCACTTTACATTTATGAATGAAATTTGCCTATTATAAATCAGAACAATTCAAAACACTACAGTCACTTAAAACACTCAGATCAGCCCTTTCTTCCCTAATGAATGTGACAAATCGAGGGATTCACGTGCACATTGTCAAGTTTGTTTCCAAGTAGCAATGACAGTTTCTTCATATTTATAAGTCCCACTGGTTATTTTTTTTCAAGTTGTCACAGTGGTGCTGGGCCTGAATGCAATTCCTAGTTCAAATGCCAACAGTAGGAATATAGCCATGTGCCTTGTAAATGCCAATGTCTACTGTTTAAGTCTGAATAAAAATATAGCAATTACTTTGACTCCTAAGAAGTAACCATCAGTAACCCACCTATACAGAGGTTTACCGATATGCAATAATGTTTGAATATCCTAAGTAATTTATGTATCATGTGTACACACATACATACAATCCATTTATGCCATATACATAAGATTAGCATAACATATATGAAACACTGAGCATTCATCAGCTTCTCTTGTGCTGTGGAGTGTTCAAATGTCTGTACCCTCAGTTGCAAAGCACCATTAATACAAGCAGTGTTTTTCCATTACTGATGTGGGAGAGGGTCATCAATGCCACTTGGCATCTCCCCAGTAACCAGCGCTTTTCTTGAGTGAACATACTCCTTCCCCTTGAGACTAAAATCTCCTCTGTTCATTTTTCGTGTTACAGGAACACAGTCATTTTTTTAAATATTGTTGATTAGAGGAAAAAGTCACATCTTTGCTGACTTCTTTAAACCACAGTCTCTGTAAAAGTGTTGCAACAGTTCTATTTCTCAATTAGGGAAAAAAAGCAGAGCCTCTAAAAGAGATTTGGTACTTGATTAATTAAATTTAACTAAGGCAGCTGTTATTAGTAAACATAAAGCATAAGTATCTGAAAAATTCATCTTATCACAAAACAAATACTCTACTAAGCAGTGAGAAGGAGTGATTTTTACTGAATTTTGAAAATATCTGAGAACTGATACTATTTTTAATTGAAGTTATACCCTTATGTTTTTCTTATGATGACTTGCTTCCCACACCCCTAGTTCAAGAGGAGAACCAAGCAGGAAAGGCAACGCAACAACCAACCCAACTAGGAGTCTACCTATCACAGTAGTCTGTGCAGGGCCACCTCTTCCCTCTTCTGTCTCTTATGCATAAGCCAAGTCAGTTGAGCTTGGTACATATCATGGGTGGCAGCAGAAGAAATATAACCCAAAAAGGAGAGGAAACAAGGGCCTTTTGCTTTAAAGAGGTGACCTGGAGAAACTAGTCTCAATGGGCAGATTAACTAGGAACTGTCAAAATATCATTTACGAGCTATGTGGATTCCTGTTCTCCAAAGAGATGCTGTCAAGTAAAATAGACCTAAAATGTGACAGGCTTTGATATTATTCGAACAAGGTGGTCTCTTCCAAATTCTGAATATGCATTTCAGTAATGCAATGTGACATTTTTGTAGGAAAAGTCCAAAACACTTAATGCTGCAATTTACCTGGGACAGAACTGGGTAAGAGAGGACTGGAGAACGTACTGCAAAATAAGTATGAGTGAGGGAAGAGGGAAACATCTGGAAATGTCAGGCGAGTGGGAATTACAAATGAAGAAAGAGATGGACTCATGCATTTGGAGCTGAAAGAGGAGAACCAGTACAGAGGTAAAAGAGAGGAGGGTATGAAGAGAGGGGTAGAAAGATTGGCTTAAAGTGGGAAATTATCTTTCTGTCTTTTGTGCCCTTTAGAGAAAGTTGGTTCACTGTTCCAATGAGTTTTCTGCAGCCATGAGGTCTAGATCAATGATCCTAAAGTGAGGTCCTGAGCCAGTGATCGCTTGTAAGTCCATAGTAAGTAATCTGCATCTTATTCCAGGACTAGCTAACGCAGTGAGATTGAATTGCCTTGTTAGTGTTTTTAATTAAAAGACAGAGGTTGTGAGAGCATGGTGAAATACAGAGAGCTGGTGCTGATCCACAGTCTGGAAAGTTTGGAAGCCACTAGTCCAGAAACTTAAAGCGGAGATTTTCAGTTAATGATCTCTCTAGGGCTTTAAATAAAATGTCAGATATCGTGAAACTCATCATAACACCACAGGAGCTGGCAGCGCTGCTCTCTGGGGCATTCTTAGTCCACTGCAGAGCCAGCATTTGCGTGCTCCTTTTTATTAGTAGGCCCAGCTGAACTGTAATCTGCCCTCCCTTTCCTTACCTCTTCTTTGCTATTTGCAAAGAGATATGCTTCATTACACGAGAAATAATAAGCCTTCATAAATTACTGGTAAGCCACGTGTGTGGTAACCGGGGAAGCAACAGCACTCTTGCTGAAGTCTGCTAAGCAGAAAGGAGTTTTGTAAAGTGAGAAAATCTCTCTTCAGAGAAACTCTGGTTTCTCAAACGTTACATCTGTCTCTATTGGATGGGATGGACAAAATTGCAGTTAAATGATAGTGCAACTTTTCTTTTTTTCTTTCTTTCTTTCTTTCTTTTTTTTTTTCTTCTTTTTTTTTTTTTTTTGGCAGCATCCTTCCATTTTCTAATTGTTCACCAGCAAGTTTTATGTGAATAGAAAGCCTGAAAATAATTCTCATGAGTATTCAATTTGAACATCTGGCATCATCATGAATGTAACTGGTATAATGAGCTTCTCTGCATTGAACATAGGCTGCATGGTGAGGGGAGGACTTCGAAGCAACTGCACCTGAATAAAGCAGATTTTCTAAAAGAGTAAATCTCCCTCTCAGTGTGCACACCCTAACTCAGGCTAGCATTAATGACAATAACCTCTTCACATATAGGATAATTAGTGCCCTTAGAGTTTAAATTTGCAGGTACTGAGACATTCAAATGAAGTGTGCCTAACATCAGGAAAAAAAAAAAAAGTGGAAATTGCTTCATTGTTTGGTTACATTATGTCTGAAGGGGGAAAGAAAAAACTGTTCATGGCTAGGTTAGCTTGTAATTGCCCCAAATTATTTATTTTTATACCATTCTAATTGTGTTTTCAGAGTTTATTTAGGCTAGTTAGCTGGCTGCTTTCAAGCTTTAACCAAAGGATTTTTTTTTATAAGCCAGGTGACATAGTCTATTTTTGTGGGAACATGGGAGAACAATGGACCAGGCATTTATTAAAGAATGCAATATAGGAATAAAGTTGCTTTTATCTGCTAGTATCAGACATATTTCTATGCACCCATCTTTGACATCCAAGCACTGTTTGTGCTGGTGATCAGGTATTTAACACTGTCCATAAAGAAAAGAAAGTGTCCTCTAGGAACTCAAGGCAGTGGATCAAAGCCACTTTAGATATTGGAGGTCTCAGGAGCCTGACCTTGTTGTAAAGTGTGCTGAGAAAATGCCTCAAAGTGATGAAGGTGTATCTTAGTCTTACTCTTCCAGAAAGCTTCTTTGAGATACCACCAAAGAGTTGCTTTCCCAAATGTTTTTGAAGTAGGCACAGAGCATGCGTAACTAAAACTTGTTCTCAGAGCTCAGTTTTTATGGTAGGGTTTACGAAAGTCAGCTCTGAGACAATGGATCCATATCTGGGCAGTTGTAGGTAATAAGGGCCTCAACTTTCATTCTGCCATGAGCTGACAACTTGAGGAGAATACAGAGAGAGGGTCAGCTTTGACAGTTCACAGTGGAAATAGAGGTTCACGCTTCTCTACTTGCTCAGTGCGTGTTCCCACCTCAGAGGCCATCCAGCTGTCCATCTGCAGCGAGGGCCGTGCCTTCCTTCCCACCACCTCGCAGACCTCCTGCAAACCCGACCTTCCCACCCCCCTCAAGGTGTAGGTCCACTCACTGGCATCACTTCACACACCCCATATCATTGAGTGACCACGATGGGATCCTCAGGCTGTAGCGCAAGGTTTAACTTCCTGTGGGCTGCAGCACTAAGTGGAGCCTTATACAGTAAAAATGAATGAGGGTCCAGTGGTTCCATCTAGTCTATGAAACTGAAAGTTTTTTTCCTTCAAGGCAGCCCCAATCTCAACGTCATCCTTTCCTGACTTGCCAGCAGGCACACACCAGCGTATCCTCTCACACTTTCGCATTCAACATGAAACTGGGCCCATTAATCACTTTTGAACTCCTCCTCCTTACACCCAGAAACTGTTTAAAATGCCACCGCCTTTCTTGTGCCACCACCAGGAGTCCTACCACATTTCCTTTTCCTTCGCATAGTAAACTCAGGTCCAAAATTTTATTTTGTTCCACTTAACTCTTCCTAGAATCTGACCTCTGCCTTTATTCTGTCAAAATTCATATCCAAACCTTCTGACCTTGTGTTTGACTTCCAGGAGTTCCTTTTCTTTGGTCCCCACTTGAGCCCTTTCTCAAGATAGCATGCAATGTATCTCCTAAGACCATCCATTCCATACTTCTGCTACGACCATCTTACTTACGAATGACAAATGTCATTATTGTATAACTTGCCCTGTTTTCTACAGCATCAAGACATAGCTGATGCCCTTCCAGATCCTCCAGAAACATTTTTCCTTGCTGATTTTCCCCTGGTTGTACTGCTTCACAGTTCACCTATATGAAAAACAAGCAAGCTAGCTAGAAGCAAAGGATAACTTTTATTGTTTGTATTTATAGTTGTGAACTTTGTGTTCCTATTTCTCTCCTCTCACATTTGTTCAGTCCCTCAAGTTGAAAACTCTTTGAAGAAGTAGCTGTGTCTTGCAAGATGGCTTTTTTTGACATTGTAAATGCTCTGCCACTGGAGTGATGCAAAAAATTACCATAATAACAGCCATCATTCTGACAGTTTTTGATGCTTTTCTTGTTGATGTTATCAAAAGGAGCATTATATCATTTTAAACCTTCTTTTCAAGTCAGGAAATTAGGTTAATGGCATTAGTAGAAATCAGATGGCAGGAAGGTTTGGGAATATGCTCTTCATCTCTTTTCATCCATGTCGCTGTATTGATACATTGGCTAATGTTCCAAAACCCTGAGAAATTCTGCTAAAGAAGCTAGAACCAAAATTCTGAAGATAGACAAATAAGCATGGAAGTTTTCAGTTTTGTGATCTATTTCTATACAAATATAGAAGAATCTGTAGAAAAAAACCAAAAACCTACTTCCAGATTGCCTCAGACTCTTGAGATAAATTACTGCCTA